CCAAAGTGCTGGTATTACAGGCATGAGCCACCACACCTGGCCACAGGCAGTTGTTAAAAAACCATACTGTTTTAATGATTGTGGCTTTATGATGTTCTTTCTGATTTTCATTGTTAATTTTTCAGTGAATTTAGTAACCTGAGCAAAAGTTAGTTATTTTTCTGTGGAAAATCAATTTTTAATTCCATAGTCTGCTAGTCACTCACATATTACATTTCTCTTTCTATTAGTTATAAAATAAAATAATTGTAGTAATGATTTAAGAAGCAACTGGAGCTCAAACAAAATTTTAACCCTAGTAGATTTTCCCATTTGGAATTAATAGTGTATTGAACAGAGAAATTGCCTAGATCCAGTTGCCATAGACATGCATCCATTATTATAAATACAGTTGGCTCTCTGTATCCACTGGTTCCATATCCACAGGTTCAACTAACCACAGATTGAAAAGACTGGGGGAAAAATCTCAAAAACAACAAAAAAAGAATACAACAGTAAAAAATAATACAAATTAAAAAAAAATACAGAATACAGTAAAACAACTATTTACATAGCATTTACATTGTCTTAGGTATTATAAGTAATCTCTAGAGATAATTTAAAGTATACAGGAAGATGTATATAGGTTATACGCAAACACTGACGTTTATAAAAGGGATTCATGGATTTTGGTATCTGCACAGGGGTCCCTGGAACCAGTTCCTTCGCGGATACTGAAGGACAGCTCTATCAAAAATCATAAAACTTCAAACATTATTGAAAAGTCATATATATTTAGCATGTATACATGCACACATATACATGCACTCACATTTCTTTAAATTTTTTTTTCTGTACCATTCAAAAGTAGGTTTCATATATCATGACCCTTTACTTCTTAGTACTTCAATATATTCCCTAAGAATAAGAGTATTATCTTACATAACCACAATGCTGTTATAAAGTTCAGGAAACTTACCATTGATACCTGTAGTCCAATTCTGATGTTGACAGTTCTCCGTGTCTTTCCTACGATATCATATGCAGTCTAGGCTCGTGTATTTCATTTGTCATACTCTTTTACAGAGTGCTCTTTGTTTTGGTTTTATATGATATTTTTTCTCATAATTAGGTTCATATGTGTTCTTGGCCAGGATGCCACAGAAATAATGATGTATCTTTTTCTGGATATCACATCCAGAGGCACATAATCTATCTATTTCTCTCTCTCTCTCTCTGTCTCTCTCTCTCTCTGTCTCTCTCACTGATGATGTTAATTTTGACCACCACATCTGGCCACAGGCAGTTGTTAAAAAACCATACTGTTTTAGTTATTGTGGCTTTATGATGTTCTTTCGGATTTTCATTGTTAATTTATTCAGTGAATTTAGTAACCTGAGCAAAAGCAAAAGTAAAGGTGTTAATTGGTTTTTCCATTATATACCTTACTGTTTTTTCCTTGCAACTAATAAACATTCTGCAGACAGACACTTTGCAACCCTGCCAGTATCCTGCTTTTTATCATATTTTCATCCCTAGATTTATCATCTGCTAATGATTCTTACCTGAACGAATCTTTACTATACTGCTTGCAAAATGAGGATTTTTCAATTCTGTTGCATCCTTCATATTTATCAGTCACTTGTAAGGAAGAGCCTACGTTATCTCCAATTTATCTATTTATTAATTTATTTACTTGCCTTTGCAATATGGACTTTGCAATTATTGCCAAATCCCCTCTGCAAGATGTGTTTACAATTATTTTTTTTCTGGTATTTAGTAAATTTGCTGTGTTCTAAAGTTACTTGGATTAGGTTTTTCTTTCTCTCTTTACTGTTACAGTTATTAATTGACTTGATTTGGAAATGTTTTTATTTGCATTCAGTTTCCTTGTTAATTTAATTTTACAGACTTCTGTTTTACTCAATGAACTGTAGTCGTTTATAGTCCAGGTTTATTTTAAGAGTTTCTTTTTTTGAGACAGGGTCTCACTCTATTGTCCAGGCCGGAGTTCAGTGGTAGGATCTCGGCTCACTGCAACCTCTGCCTCCCGGGCTCATGTGATCCTCCCGCCTCAGCCTCCCAAAGTGCTGGGATTATAGGCATGAGCCACTGCATGGCCTGTTTTAAGATTTAAATTGTTCCATCTTTGGTCAAATGGAGGCTCTTCAAGCTGGTTCTTGCATTTTCTTAACATGCTTTCCTTGTTGTTTTTTTTTTTAATAGCATTTTTAAACTTTGTGACATAACAAAATGTTTCAAGCTCATTCTATACCTGACCCAGCCTTGGAGTCAGTCACTTCTCCAAAGAGCCCTGGTTCCTTTTTTTAAGGAATGATACCTAAAAACAAAATTTGGATTTTAGGGGTGCTGATTTTTGCTGGAGTAGCATTTCTTCCAGTACCTTTCAGTTAACAGAACTAAA